TGAAACTGGGGCTTCATTTCTAGGACCAAAGAGAATTGGGAAACCTGGAGCTCGATAATGCTGTTTTGTTTCATTAAATGTTCTCACTGTCTGTGTGGAAATAAATGTGACTCGTCCCTGACAGATGATAAAAGGCAGCAGACATCATTAGTGTCCATCATATGACTCCTGACACCTTCTGGAGAGAGGGCTTCTGTTCGTTCATGATCAGAGGTAAAATCTTTCTACAGATTGATTTGAAATTACTTCTTAACTTTGGTGTTCAGATCTAGCCATGAAGCCAAGAGTAGCTTCCTATTCCAACCTTAGAAACCGTCTTCTGAGGTTTTAAATCATTTTAGCTCTGTATTTCAGGATGTTTCAAGGGGCAACCATGCTCACAAAGAATGAGGGCTCTGTGGAATGCTTTATTAGAATTTCAAAAAAGTGCCATCTCTTGAACTGCTCATTACTAGGAACAACCTGGTACCAAGCAATTTATGATTAAAACATACAATTTGCATTTAAATTAAATGAATTAACAAATAGCAGAGATTACAATAATGTATTATATTTTCTTATTGTTTGCTGATTTAATTTTTACACGTGTTAAAATGAACAAAGTTTATGGGTTTCCATTTTTTTTTTTTGCAGAGAAATTACTGAGAAAAATATGAATTGGAGAAACTACTTAGTCTATTATTTCCAGTTTTATCATGAGAACATGTTCTCATATTGGTGCTTCTCTTAAAACGTGGATTCTTTTTAAGAAACTGGACTACATTTTAATGGTTTTAGGAGATATTTCTCAATATTTATCTAGGTATGAAATCTTTTTAAAAAGATATATAAAGAAACCAAATATTTTGCTTACAATTTCTTACATAAAAAGTTTTAATAACTGAATAATTAATATGTATTGAGAAGCTATTCTGTGTATGTTAGTATACCAGGTACTATGGTGAATATCAGAATTACAAGATCTTTCCCCTCAAAGTGTGGAGTCCATTTAGGGATATACAAGTTAAAGACAAAAAACATTTTAAAATTCAAAATATAATAAGGTCTATAGAAGACAAATCCAAAGCAGCTTTATACATTTAACCTAGAAAATAAGCAATTTCAAAATCTATTTAAAAATTGTGGGACTGGAGATAACGATATCCTCCTGAACTTGAATCTCTCAAGTCCTCCACCCAATGATAATATCAAAATAAGAATGCAAATATAATCACAAATGGCTCAAGTGTTTACCCTCATTAGGAAGTAGAAAACACCAAAATCAAGTTACCTGTAAATAGAGATATAAACACCACATTCCAACAAACATGTTAAGCCTGTAGGTGCCAAAATTAGGAAAGGGGACACTTAAGACACACCATTAAAAAGTGGAACACATCAACAAGTCAAAGACCCCAGAAAAAGGAAGTACAATACTAAGTGGCAAAATTTGAGGTCTGGTATTTGGCACTTCACAGTACCAGCTATAGGAAAAATATTCGAAAATGGTTAATACTGAGGAAGTCAGCAGCCTCAAAGAGCATTGCTTCTTAGTGAGAATCATAAAAGTAGAGAAAAGATTATGCTCTTGAGAATGTAGCAGAAATGAGAAAGAAGGTAAGGGAAAACCTGAGGATCTTTCAGAAATGAAAGAGACAAGGCATGTGATCCTTTGTGTCTTCCCTACCACTGAAAGCATTCATTAAAGAAACTGGCTTCACTAAGCTTTTATAAGGAAGTAATCCTGAACTAGAGACTCAACCCCCAAAATGACTAGGAATAGAAAAAAAAAAAAATCAAACCAACTACATACAAAGTTAATGGAAGAAGAAAACAGAAAATTCAAATCAAAATACTTCAGCTGATGAAATGGTCTGTACCAAAAAGCAACAACAAAAACAAACAAACAAAAACAACCAAAAACCACAAACCAGAAGAATATGCTTACACAATTTTTAACTGAATTAAAAATCCTCAAATGAGCATTTGAAAATTAGATATAGATACGTAGAGACACAGATATAGATACAGATATAAACTAGAAACAGAAAGTTTAAAACTAAGGCCACAATGGGAAAAAAAAAGGGGAGTGATGGAGTAAGAGTTGATTGATCTCAGCAAAGAAACTGTAGAAAAAAACTAGCCCATCTCAGAAATAAAGAATAAATTGAGAGGTACCCAAGGTATAATAGATTCTAGTGAAATTTACTAAGGAACTTTGAAGGAAAGCAGGATAAAAGGATAAAATGAGATAAAGTAGTAAGTAAAAGGGTCAAAGAGAAAATGGTTGAAATTGACGACATGAAAAAAAAATTCAAAATACATATAATTGAAGTCTCTGAAGAAGGAAAACAAAACGTGCTATAACTGATATGTAAAAGTATAATCAAAGAAAACTTTTCAAAAGTAAGAAAAACCTTTTTTTACATATTCAAAGCGCCCACTGTGTGCCTAGAAAACTCAAAAATAATCAACTTAGAGACATGTTCTAGAAAAACAATTAGAATTCAGGGTATACCGGCAATAACATCGAGTTGCTTATGCATAGAGGGGGTCTAGGAAAGACTGGCATCAAGCTTTTCAAAGGCAACACACAAACAAAAAAAATTGCAGGCCAAGTGTTCTGTAATCACCCAACTGTCCCTCAGGTGTCAAGGCAATAGAAAAACTATTTTAAAGGTTCGTGAATCAAGAGAATAGTTTACACATGAGCTCTTCCTTGGTTGGATGACCTTCACTCAACTAGGAGATAACCTGGAAAATTTTGGCAAAATAAATGATGATAAGCATTTTATATATTTTAAATTTTTGAGTTAAATTTAAGTTTAATTTTTGAGTATTTTAAGAGTTAAATACCTAAAAGAAGGGTAGTGGCATGAGTAGAAGAATATACTCTAGAAAAGTAGAAAGAAAACAACTAGAAATAGAAGAAGGAAAAGACAAAGGAGAAAGCAGACTAAGATTATTGACTGTTTTATAGGTAATAGACGAAAGTCAAGGATATCATGTAAGACTGACAGTCTACTGAATAAAAGGTTATTTAAGAAAAGGTATATTAAGTGCACAAAAAAGGCATAAATATAAGTGAAATCTCTAAATAAAAATACCAATGTTCAAAAATACCAAAATAATTTTTAGAAGCAAAGCCACATCAAATACAGAAACATAGTATATATAAGTAAATATATTTGGTGACTGTAAAATAAAATTATATGCAGAGTTGATATCAATATATCAGCCACATTGGAAAATGTGAATGGGCTTAATTCATCTATTAAAAAAAAAATCCAAATTGGCTCATAAAGCAAATCTGAACTCTGTGATTCTATGTAAGGGACACAACAAACATACAGTGTTTCAAAATGTTGAAATCATAGGTATGGGAAAAGACATATCAAAAAAGTGAAACTGGGCTTCCCTGGTGGTGCAGTGGTTGAGAGTCTGCCTGCCGATGCAGGGGACATGGGTTCGTGCCCTGGTCCAGGAAGATCCCACATGCCGCAGAGCGGCTGGGCCCGTGAGCCATGGCCGCTGAGCCTGTGCGTCCGGAGCCTGTGCTCCACAATGGGAGAGGCCACAACAGTGAGAGGCCTGTGTACCGCAAAAAAAAAAAAAAAAAAAGTGAAACTATAAGACAGCAGGAATTGTGATATTGATATTAAAAAGGTAGAATTCAGGCCTAAAAGCATCAAGGACTCTCTATAATGCTAAAATCCAAAACTTATAATCAAGATATAATAATGAATGTCAATACACCAAATAACAAGATACCAGATAACAAAGCAGTCATGTTCAAAATGCAAAACCCACAGAAGATATGAGAAAAAAAAATACTAATAAAAGACTTTAACACACCAATCTCAGTAAAAGGCAAGTCAAATGAATGAAAAATTAGAAAGTAAGAGATGAGTAGATCTCTGCACTTGCTGTCAGAATCATAACATTTATATAGAGGCCTTAACAGTCACGTACACAGTCCAAATGATTTCCACAATACATTGCCCTCCAAAGGTTGTGTCCTTGAAAATGGTTCCCACTGTGGAAACAGTGGGAAGAATATACATCCCAGGGAAGGGGCAAGGAACCTCCCATTGCCCTGGTCCAACTCATGGGCCAACCAGTTGTCCATCCTCTTGATGACCTCCTCCAACAATAACTGGGGCAGGAGGAGGTTCTACTGGCATCTAGTTGCATACTAGCATCTAAGTCTGCTGCTAAGCATCCTCCAATGCACAGGACAGGGCCCCACAACAGAATTATCTAGCCTAAGATGTCAATAGTGCCAATGTTGAGAAACCCTGTTCTAGGGAATGAGGTGCAGTATTTATTCACTCAAGAATATTTACTGTGGCAAATGCCATGGGTCTAGAGCAGTGCTTGACAGCAATGAAACCCAGAGCTCCTTCCTGAAGGACCTCAGAGTCCAGTGGAAGAATTATATAAATGAATAATTGTCATGGAATAAATTCTAGCCTTGGGTTGGAGGTGTTGGTGGCTGGAGCGGGGGAAGTCCAGGGAAATCTGGGAACAGATGGGTCTTAAAGGATAGATATGTAGGCATTTTCCCGATTAAATATAAGGAAATGGTTTTAGGCAAAGGAAAGAAAGGTGACAATAAGTACGAAGGGACATTAACAAACAACCTTCTCACTCCACTTTACCACATACACTCTGTGTTTCAGCCACTCTTGGCTGCAACAGGCCAAGCACTCAAGTACTAGTATGTATTTGTACTCTTGTATTGGTTTTCTCTCACTTCAGAATACCATTTTCACGCTTTTTTTCTGTTTGATGAAACCATCACCATCTCTCAAGATCATATGTCATGAGAGCAAGGGTATTGTTTTTGTTTTTTAATGTTTATGGATATGTTGCAAGCACAAAAACAGTTCTGGCATGTAGTAAATGTTCAATTAAGTTATTTTTGAATGAACAAATGTATAAACCCAAATACTGTTACTGAGTCTAAGCTCGTACCACTCGCCACGTGACAGGCCAATAATCGAGCGACGAGTTGTTGGGACAAGGAATAATGACTTTATTTGGAAAGCCGGCAAACTAAAAAGATGGTGGGCATGCCCCAAAGAACCACATTGCCTGAGTTAGAATTCAGGCTTCTTTTATACTAAAAGCGGAGGGAGTAAAGTCAAGCATTTTCTGATTCCCATCAGCCTCCAGAAGGGATGTGTTAATTTCTTCCTCCCTGCAGTCATTCACAGGTGGGCCTGGTCAGGATGTTTCCTGTGAGCTAAACAAAGGTATTTTAGCTTAATGCTCATTACCTGGGAGTCAGGGTTCCCAGAGATGAGCCGTTATGTATAATTTAAGCTCATAGGCAACATGCCTTGAGTTATTAGCTTGTAATAGGATACAAAAGTTCTTCCCTATTACATTATCAGTTCTTTTCTGAAGCATTCCTCAATTTCTCACTGTAAAACATACAAAAAAACCCAGAACTGCCTTTTCCCATACTTCTTACATTGCATATAGATGAGTAAATGTAAAAGATGACTTATTATAACACCTAATAGGTGCTTAATGTTTATTAACTGAATGAAAAATGAAGAACATAATGGGAAAAAAAAAAACCCAAAACAGATAGATCTGCCAGGTGTCTGGACCCATGATGTAGCTCAGTAAAACATTTCCCTTCTAGTCTTTCCTGAAGAGCAGAGACTGAAGAATTCTCTCAATATAGAGAAGTAAAAATCACTTATAACTTAATAGCCAAAGGTAAATACTCTTTAATTTTTGCTAAATATTCTTCCAACAGAATCATATAAACACACACATATACAATACACAGACATGTATATACATTCGAACAAGAGAACTGCATTACATGTAATCCTTTATGACTGCTTTTTCACCTCTCTCCATGTCAGTTAAGTATAAATATGTTATTTTTATAAATACATCACATTTTATTTTATAGATGTAACATGACTCATTTAAAAAGACTCCTACATTGGGCATTTACATTGCTTTCATTTTGTTTGCTTGCTTGTTTGTTTTGATGTTACGAAGAATGCTGTGGTTAACTTTGTGTATTTACACGCTATAGGCATTATTATCTTGAGATAAATTTCTAAAGTATATATGAAATTTAAGACTTTTAAAGTACACTGCAAAAGTCCCTTCCATAAAGTGTGTAAGATTACTATTCCCCTAAGCAGTATATGAAAGAGACTGTTTTCTCACATCTTTAATTAACACTGGGTACCGGGTTATGTGTTAGATTTTAATTTAATGTGTTATAAACCAACAGTATTTCCTTTATGGTTTCTGACTCATGAATCAATGCCTAGAAATAATTTCCCTACTATAATTTTCTTAAAATGTCTACAATTTCTTCTAATACTTTTTATGGTTTCATTTATTTTCATACAGAAATCAAACTCCATCAGAAATTAATCTTGTTTTACGTCATGGTAGGCATCTTTTAATTTCAAAATGGACACTCAGTTGTTTTAATACATTTAATAAATAACCTATCTTTCCATCTTCATGACTTACAGGATACATTAAATGAATGTCTACATTTGAATATATTTCTGGACATTGTACTTTTTCTATTTGTTTGTCTACTTTTCCTTGACAATGATATTATTTTATGTATTATAACTTTATAATACACTTTAATATCTGATAAAGGTTCTCTTTTCTATTTCCAGATCAGAAGAAAATTTATATTTGTACAATACTGAATGATCTCATTCAGGGAAATAGTTGGTCCCTTTTTATTAAAGTTTTATTACGTTCCCCTGTAAAGTTCTTTTTCCAATAAAGACTCTTCATATTTCTTGCTGATTTTTTTCTAGATAATTCTGTAGTTTTGATTGCAATTGTAAAAATATTTTCATGTTATGATATTTAGCTAATTATTAGGTAGATAGATAGTGATTTTCACAGATATTTTTCTAAAAGAGCATGTTATATAAAACTTAGTATTTTCTTAGTTTTCTAGTCGATCATATAATATGAAAATATTATACTTTTTCCCATATTTACTACTTATTCCTGTTGTTTTTAAAATCTGATTGGACTGGCTGTCACTTTCAGAATAACTTAAAATAGTGTAAAAACATAAAACTTTCATGATTTTAATAACGTAAAGCATGATAATGGAATTCTCCTTTCAGTACAGAAAAGAACAAAGATTACAAAGGATTGAGCCACACCACATAGGTAAAATCTATGCCTTTATAATGATAATAAAAGAAACAACAGGAACAACAATGACACATCTTTATTGGCCACAGTTAGAGAGTGCTAAGCCATTACTCTGAAATTTGGATTTCAAGTATTTATGCTTCCTTCTTGTTATAAGCTGTGTAAGCTAACCAAATAGTTGATAAAATTGTTTTTAATAATTTCACTTAATATATGGTAAAGGAATGACGGAAAATCACCAGTTTGAAATGCCTAATGAGATAATGAACCGAGGAAACAATTATGGATGGATGCTAAAAGCTTTAGGTAAAATGTTGATGTAAAACCTTATTTTGGAGGGAATCAGGTTACTAGCGCATGAATCCACTATTAAATTTCAGCACCACCGTAAGTGAGACAACCAGATATCATGTGTCTCACTATGAAATACTCTTGCCTTAAAAACAAACAAATGACAACAACAAAACTGTCTGGATCTAATCTAACTTAAAAGTTAACTCCTAGTTTACAGAAAATAGGAAAAATAGAGGAATAAAATGAATAACAAAATGAAAAAGCCAAATCTAGAATGTTGAACATCCAAAAGGACAAATAACTTGGTTTCTTCAACAATCAATGGCATGATAGAAAAAGGTTTGTTGCAGAATACAGTTGACTCCTGAACAACATGGGTTTGAACTGCATGGGTCCACTCATACGTGGATATCTTTCGATAGTAAATACTACAGTACTACTACATGATCATGGTTGGTTGCATCTGCGGATGTGGAGCAATGAGGGATATGGAGGGCTGACTGAGTTATAAGGAGATTAATTCCCACATTGTTCAAGGGTCAACTTTAAAAGAAATTTAAGAGACATACAACCAAATGCAGTACAGATCTTGATTCAAAACTTATCTTAAATAGGTATCTTGGAGGCAGTTAAGGACATCTGAATATTGACTTGGTATTAAGTGATAACAAGAAAAAATTAATTATATTAGCTGTAATAGTAGCTTCTTAGTAACTCAAAAAATAATACCTAACAAATAACAAACAAACAAATATGAAAGTTCCTTCAGGGATGCATACTGAGATATTTACAGGTAAAATGTCAGCATATTTGAATTTTGCTATAAAATACCTCAGGTTACAGAAAATGCACGGAGTATATAAAGCAGTGGCAAAATATTGGTAATTGTTGAAACTAGGTGATGGGTAGACTGAGGTTCATTGTACTATTCTCTAGTTTTGTGTAATGCCTGTGGTTAGTGACAGATTAAAAAGAAAGCAGGTAAGAAGTAAGAGACAGTAGAAAATATAGGTAAGGATCAATGATGATTCTAAGTAAAACAGTAGATAGAGGCAGTTAATATAGTAAGCACAAAGTTAAGTATTACAAAGTACAAGTGAGGTTCACACAAACAGAGAAGGAATGTTCGAGATTGCTGAGAATTTAGAATTGAGGTACATGGGTGAAGAGTAGGAAAAGTGAGCAAGAGAACTCAAATAAGATGCCTAGAAGGGCACTCACTATCTGCATCACAAATGTTTAGGAACTAGTGTCATAAATAGGTTTTTAATGTCTGGATTATTTCTCTTTGGTCCACCAACTTCTCCCACACCCTTGTTTTATGTAAAGCATACTGATAAGGGCTAAGACTATGACCTCCATCTCATGGTCATTATAGCAAGACTTATATTTGGCCATGTTTATCTATAAAATCTTCTTTTAAAAAACTGCAATTAAAGAGACTTTTAAAAATATTTTTAACCTCACTTTATATATATGAGAACAACAACAAAAAAAAACCCTCTGAATTTTGTATTATCCTAGGATGTACAGAGAAGGCAATCCAATAAGACCTGCCTTGTCACATTCAATAGAGCAACTGCAGAAGCAATTTGTTACAAGCAGATGGATAGTTGAACACTGAAAAGGATGATAAACTAGAACAAAATTAGATATTGAAATCAATTTCTTTTAGGCTCACCATGAAACTTCAGATTTACACAAACAATTGTATTTGAAGAAGTCAGAAAAAAATGCCATACTAAGATGGGTGCCCGTGAAAACAGAACTTTACACATGCTATAGCCTTTATAGCCATCATTTACTTGGTTGGTCCAAATATTTATAGTTCATTGTTATGACTGCCAAAACTGGCAACCACAAGGATTGTTGTCTCAATTAGGACAGTAAACAGATTGTCTCTTTTTTTAATGAAAAAATCTAAAATGTAATACTTCACAGTTTAACATGTTTATTCATCTAAACGAGCTAAAAAATAATGGTGCGACATCTGTTCGAGAGGCATTGGTACCTCAAATTTTGGCTGCCTCCCCACCATTTTGGTTGTTGTTTTAAAAAATGAAGAATAGGAGGGGGTACTGTCATCAAAAAATCTTCTGGCATGTAAAGTATCTTATTTTTCTTGAAATAAGGATCTCATGTCTGTTGCTAGGGATAAAAAAAAAAATTGTCTAACAAAGAGGCACAATGCTGAATACGACAGCAGTTCAATTGTTTTTAGATACATTTACTGACCCACTATAGATATTTCCACACTGATATAGTTCTTGAAGTGACTCTCCCAGTTCCCTCTATACTTACCTGTATAGCTAAAACCTATACAAAATAGTAAAGTGTTTCTGTAAGCACTGAATTCATCTGCTACAATTTTTACTGTAGGTTACACTGATTTTAGATATGGTGTCAGTGGAACAAAATCTAGCAAACATTCTATCCAGGCTGCATTGGAGCAATTCTAATAAAAGAAGGCAGTGCTGCTAAGGGAAAAGTGGTGAGAATCTCCCCAGAGAAGCCTCAGGTAAGTGTCTTCACGTAATTGTTGGTAAGAAAAAAATAAAAGTTTATCTTAGATAGTCTCTGACACAATAACCTTATGTTATGGATGAAATACATTAAAATTTAAGTTTAATATCTAGAAGTTTATTTCTGAAGCTTATCTAAAGCATAACTTGATCTACTGAATTATCAATGACTATATAATTTAGATTCTGGAAAATATAACACTTTAGTTTTCACATAAATATAGCATTATAATGAAAATTTAGTTTTTTTTACAATGGGAGTGAAGATTTAGACTAAGTTAAATTTAAAACAATGAGTATGATTTTTAACAATACTAAGATGAAAATAGCATATTTGATTTCCTAGAAAAGAGCAACGTTTCTGTTGTGTAGCAAATTTAATGCTAGTTGTCTTGATCTTAAAGAGAACCAGGATTAAATATATATGTGTCCCAATACAACCAAAGACCATAAATGTTAAATGCTGAGTTGATCAATATTGTGATTTTTAAGTTTTATTTATTAAATGCAAATAATTTTTGATCATCTGTTACATGCAAGAACTGTGCCAGGCTCTGAGAGGACTGAAAGAGATTAACTTAAATTCTAACATGCATTTATTAAAAATGTGCAGACCACTACACTACTGCAATTACAGAAATGAATAAGAACATATTCTCAGGATTTTGTAATCCTTGGTTGGAGTGGGAGTACTTCACCTACATTTACAAAAAATTGAAAAAGATTGGAAAATCTTCAAGTATTTTGCCACCTTAAAACAACAACAAAACCTCATTCTGGTAGTAAAATAGGATTTTAGCACATTTGTTTTAGAAGAAATTATAGATGAGGTTATATTTTTACAACATCGCCTCTCAAATGAATTTACATATTCTGTATTTTTCATGCAATATAAGAACCAGCAACCACTCAAGCTTCATTCAAAGTGTTCTATAGGCTGTACGTTAAGTCCAGCTGCGTTAGTTGAAATTTCTTCTGCAGAAAGAGTATGTTAACAGATAGATTCTAACATTCTGAAAAGTCATTAATTTTTTTTTTTTTTTTTTGCCTTCTGAATTACTCTGAGCAGTGAATTATTGGAGGGGAAAAACCCATGCCTAAAATTTGTATGGTGCCAGTTTCAGATTTATGCCAAATACCACTCACTATTTAAAAGTGTAGTCCCCTGAAACTGCAGACCGGATATCACCTCTCTGTCTTCAAAGATTCAAACCAGACTTCAACTTGGGATTTCTCTACAGAGGATTGGCTGCTTCCCAGCTAATGTGAGTTTGAAAAATGTGCATTTCACGAAAACATTATTTTGTAAATATACATTGTCTCACTTTACCTGCTATTTATTAAAATCAGAGTTTAGCCTTTGGGACTTACCATAAGTTAATCAGTTAAGTTAGTTATGCTGTGTCTAGGCTAATATTCATTACTATCAGAAACAACATTTTTCCTCCAAAGAATACCTCAAGAGTAGAACAGGATAGTAAAGTTGTTTTTCTCCTTTTTTTCAGGGTAATGAATTTTCAAACATTTCCAAGAGTACAATCATCTATTTTAAATACTGTAAATTCTGTAATATCTCACTTGGATAGATATTTAATAGACAATTATTACATATCTTTGCATTTAAATTACCACTGAAATTAGAAATAATCTTTATTTTATATGACTGTATTTAACACCAGATGGGAGGGGAAATAACTAAATGAAGATTGTTCACATAAATGTGATAGGAGTGGGGGAAAGCAGTATTTCTTGACATGTGGCATGTCACTCAGGAAAGTAAAAGACCCATCATATCCAAAATGCCAGCTTGGATATTCTCTTGCCACCCACTTCACAAACAGACATACCACATGGCATTAAATGCTGCAACCTTTCCTAAAAATGCCACTTGGATTTGTCCACTGTGGTGAATGTATAGGAACTCTTGGTCTGTCTCTTAAGTTTGTGATTTCAATGGGAAGAATCCAGGAAACAGCACTGGCTAAATTTTGCCCTCAGATGTTTGGCATAAATGATCTGTGAGGACACCGGTACTTTTGGCTGTTTTCACACTGATGAAATAAGTTATGCTACTTGAAAAAATTCTACAGAACATAATGCTACACAACCACATTCAACTATCTGCAAAAGTCTCAAAGACTATCTAGGATATTTATCAATACTTTCTTCTCTTGGAGAGTATGGAAACAATCTTAACATTTTATTTACTCTTTATAAATACAATGTATTTACTATGAAACACCTTATGCACATGTTGCAAGCTATTCATTTTCTATACATATTTATGTAAGGTAGTAACTAACAACTCTGCTGTGGACACATATTTTTCCATTTTCTAATCTTTATGTACTCATGTGTTATAAAATTATTTTAAAATTCCATTACCAGTAAAAAATACTGACTACATTAGTCATTATACTCCAACAAATGTAAAATACCTTGAAAAATCATATAAACAAAAAACTCCATATGTGAGTAATATAAGACATATATTTTCTTCTATTACTTTTCATGAAAGGGTTCTAATTGATTTAATTCCCAAGAGACAAAATACAATTTTGTAAAACAAGTTTGTATTGTTCAGATATAAGAGACAACCCAAGAAAATGACTCTGAGTAGGTAGGACTTCTGCTATTACCGTTGTGTGAAAAACACTGCACAATTAGACAACAGGTTGCTACATATCTCCTTAACAAGAGGGGCAAACTGATACTGCAAGCAGCCAGGACAACATAATTAAAATAGAATTCCAAGTTTATATTAATAGAGTAATAAGTTAATTAAAATCAAGATCAACTGAACTTTCTATTTACACCAGTTCAGACAGCCCAAGAGGAAAGCAACTCTATTTTAGAGACATATGTGACTCTTTGAGCTTCTGTCATCCAGGTGCCATTTCTGATGGAGCACATGTGCACTGAACAGTTGGCAAAGAAGGAAAAAGATTACTGTAGATGTATGTGCAGATTGTCTCTCTAATGATATAAACTACGTCTGGAAAGAAAGCAGGGTTTCTCTGTAAAATGAAAAATTTCCCATGAGTTTTCATTCCTTCTTAGGCTCTGAATGTGACTAGAGAATGTTTCTGTAAATGAGGATATATACTTTTACTTAGAATGTATATGGAACAAAAATAGATTTAGTAATCTGTAAGTGATGGAGTTATACACATAAATTGCCTAAGACATCTGAAGAATTTAGGATCTGTTTTTCACTTTATCTAAATGCACCATGAATAGGTTGCCTGTCAAAGTAGAAAGATTTATAAAAGTATCTGGTAGCACACATACTACATTACTAGGTAAGGTTCTTTTCTTGATATCCTATGCAACATTTTAAAAGATATTTCTGCAAACTGAAAATACCAGCAGAAAAAATTCAAGACCTTGCTGTCTCAGTACTTCAGAAAGTATTGGTCCCTAGAGGTGCTTTTATAAAATTATATCCTTTTCATGCATTGATTGCTGCTCAACTAATCTTCATCTGGTTCCAGATCAGGGTCAACATCTGTGGACAGTCTGAGATAAAAGAAAGCATAGAAAGCCAGTAGGAGGGCCAATATAGCTGCAAGTAGAAGGCCAACTTCCTGAGGAAGGAAAAAAAAAGTAGATTTGAAATTCATGAAATGAGGTTGATTAACTTTATCAGTTTCACGAGATAAAAAAACACAGTCTAGAATTAATAATCACATTCTTTTTGTTTAACACTTTCTGTCATTAAGCAAAGAAACTTTTGTGCTTGACAATACCTAATATAATGGCAGGTACATCAGTGGGTATAATAATAGATGTGTATTATTATTTTTATTTAAATTTGTGTTTTTCTAATAGTAAAATTAACATTTATAATTTTAATATATTTTCATAGTTTGGATGTCAAACTGTTGGATGTAAGCAATGTAGTTTGTGCCTACACAGTTTATCTTTCTCTATCTGAGAAAGAAATAACATTTGAGAAAGAAATAACATTATTTCTTGCTTCAATACATTTATTATTAGCTATAGCATTTGGACACAGATTCTTTTTTAAATTATCATTCCTTTTCTAATAGGAAGAAACTATTATAACCAGTTTCTACATTATGTCTCTGTAAACATCCTTATTAAATATTATTTTTTAAAACTCATTTTTAAATTCTAAATTCTATAGTTTACAATGTGGCAGAACAAAACTAAGTACTCTTGGCTCATAAAGCATGATATGATATAATTAACACAACTATGAAGGATGGTCCTGGATACTTCATTTGGTGATTTGATATGGATTATATTAATCAATTATGCTGAAATAATAGCCAAAAAATTAACATATATACAATGGCAAAAATCATATTATTTTTCAAAAAGTCTATAAACTTATATATATATACACACACACACACACACACACACACACACACACATACCATGAAGGAATTGTCTCAATATTAACATATCATTTGGCTAAACAGAAAGAAGAATAAATAGTGCTAGTACAGTATCCTAAGGGGCTTAAATATTCCCTTGTAATTCTCACTTGCATATCACACCCCTTCCTGACATTATTTTATGGAGAAGCAATTTATTTGCACTTACACAAATGTAGTTTACATTTCAAAAGAATGCAAAATTAATAATTCAACATATGCCACCTAATAAACTTTAAAAGCATTAAAATAAATTCGGTTTATAATCAACATGTAATTTTTACCTGGATATTGAAATTACAAATGGACATTTTATACAGATTTTTAGCTTTATAATTAGATTTTTTTAGATTTGCAAACTATAAAAATAAATATTAATAAAATACATGGGGTTGAAAGACAGTGTCAACTATTTTTGTAAGATTTGATTTCTCAATCTACTCTATCAATATAATGTCAAATTAAAGTGAATTTTCTCTGCTGCAGTTGGAATACTTTGGCATCTCAAAAGGGCATGGCAGCATCAGACAGGTTTCATTTATTTTCTTGTATCCACAGCTGTGCTCCCAGACCCATCTGGTTACACAGCTACTAATTTTAAGAGGATGTAATAAACAAGTGACACACAACTGCAAACTCCATCTGTCCTGTACAGTGGACAAAAAACTGTTCAACAGCAGTCACCATTCCCATAAGCTTAACACAAGACTAAAGTTTTTACTCTTGATTAGAGTCTGTGATTCTCATCTCATTGATAATCACCTCTAATTGCTGTTTTTCAACTCCTTCTTATCCTTTCAAACAGCTCTGTATCATCTTCATTGTACATTTTCAGAATATCCAGAGGCATGAAAAAGGGGTTTAAGGGTAGGAAGCAGAGAACATTCATAGAATACAACTTCAGAAGATCCATTAATTCAATTAAGTCTATTCAACATACTATGGTGTAGGGGGTGAGGCTTCCGAAGTATTGGACGAGGAGGTACAGCAAATCATTTGTTTCAGAATGTCCCTATTCTGCTAAGGAGATAAGTATTGTGGGGACTGCATACTTGGAGGGTTAAAACTATGGTAAAATTTGAAAATACTGCTTTCAGAATTCTGGTCACACTAACCATAACTTAGAGACCTACAGGCATTTATGACTCTCCCCACCCTTGGCCATTTTTAGTTTTAGATCAGGAATAACAAAGAGAACAAAAATAATGCTTCCAGCTGGCTCAACCCAAGGGGTTGTTAGCAGGATCTGGTTGCCATTTGAATATTTTATTTATGTAACAGATAAATCAAATTTCTGATCCTTATTTTTTATTATAATTACTTGTTTCAAATAAACTACTTAATAAACAAATATAGATTATCTTTTTCCTTCTAAATACTAGGAAACACAGGTTATTTGCATTCTAAAAAAATTTTCCCTGATGTTGCAACTCTTGAAAAATAATCTTCAAATTGAACAGCAACCAAATAGCAAATATTAGTTGTGCAAATAATTTTTAGGTGGTACTCATTACTGGGTCATAAATTATGACATTTTGTTTATATTGGTAAAAGACACAAACTAAAAATAGCTTCTCAATAGAAATAATTCCACATTTTGAAGAAGTGATATTCATATCTTATTCTGAATCATTACTGTTCCCTGAAATTTTCTATCACTAAACATACATTTATAAAAAAGCACTAGAAGCCCCTGAGGGTAAGTACCCTATTGTGTAATTTTTATATCTCTAATCCATGATTTCTCAATCATGTGATTTCTTGTAGAAATTCCTCCAAGATAATTGTGTCTTATTCATCTTTTTTTCCACAGGTTCTACAACATTGTAATGCTCATAGCAATTTCTAAATAAATGAAGGATTGAGTCAGATTTATATAATTTATGTACAAGGTATATTAAAATTATGTAATGTTTTGAAAACTTTACAGCAATAATATCCATAATACTATCTTCACAGCAAAACTGAAAACATTTTGTAATATGTAGTATAGTAACACAAAGCAGACTTAGTTGAGTAGGGGATCTTTAGGCCAATGACAAACATCCAAGGACAGTCTTATTTATGCAAACCAGTAATAGCTAATTCAAAGAAATATTTATGTTAAGTGTATTATTTAACTCTTCTGACTATACTGTGAGGTAAATGGCATAAAATCCATTTTACAAATGTGCCAGTTTAGACTCAGCTAGATCATTGTAACAGTAAGAGGAGTCATGTGATTCTAGGCCTCTTTCGTGTTCAGTTTTATCATTGCTGTTATTTTCCTATTCCTTGCAGCTGTTCATATTTTCTGTAGATTTAAATTATTTTAAAAGCATAGCAATGATTCATTCTAAAAAGTAAGTAGTAAAGTGATAAAATATTATAACATTATGGCCATCCTGTATTAACTAGATAAGAGTCAAACATGTTTGATGTTCATTAATCCTTAGTTGCTTCTCTGACATTATCAACATGGATAAAATCACTCACTGGGGAAATTAAATAGCATTAAATGGCAATTGCTGAAAGAAATTTCGTTATTTAAAATACTATGCTAAAATGACAAGGCAATCAAAGTTTGACAGGGCAAACTAATTAGTATGCCAGATTTGAAATGTAAAACACCTCCATGGTTCTGATTCTAAAAAGTTTCCTATTATTTTAATGGGTTCATTACATAAATTTTCAAGCAAAGTAAACAGTGTTTAAAGATAAGGTTTTTGTTTTTCACAGGTTTACAAATCAAAATGATATGCTAGTTTATTAAAAAGGAGCTGTTTTTGATGTCAGAAACTTTTCTGTACATACTTTAAATCATCAATGAAACCTAAGAACAATTTTTTTCTCATAAAAGATAAACAAATTCTATATTGTTTTTAAAAAGACATTAGATTGCACTATAAGGTAGACTTATACTAGGAATATGGTTATTTCCTCAAGTTAAAACCATAGCAAAATGATAAGAGCAAATGAAATAGAGGATATATACAGGAAAGTGGTATACATCAATAAATGCATGGCTGCACTATTTTTCAAATTCTAATTTGCAGCTGCTCATTATACTGTGCCACAAGTGGATTGTGCTACCCCAATATTCTTCTAACAAGACAAAAACAAAGCCCTGTATTGTGAAAGATAAAAATAAGTGACATATTGCTTTCCTGGAAAATGACAGACAGTGCTCTCATTACAAGAGACAATCATCAGGTAACTAACTGCAAAATAAGAAACTAACCACTGGTTTTAGAAAGTTTGTGTCATGGAAATAATTTTAAAGATGAATGAAATTTCACATGAAATTAGAAGAAAACTTCAAAAGATTAATCATCTCTCTTTCAAACAAAAAGGCAATTCATTTTTTTTTTTTCTTTTTCTTCCGTTAAAAACTGACACACAGCACTAACTGAGGAGATTGTGCTGTGAAAACATACCGCAGCACACAGCAATGCTTGATCAAAATCAGTATCAGGAGTAAAAAGAAGGCAGTGTTTCGTGATCATAATAGCAAATTCTGGAAGACAACCAAATATATCATCTGGCAGTTCAACAGCTGTTACAGCTTGGTAGTAATACCTTGGCATTTGCTATAAGCTATAACTTAGAAAAATTGATTTTTCATCTGCCAGATAAAACCCAAAATCTCCTTTTAACATTTTAATATTTAAATAAAATATAGGTACTAGTCACTTTACTTTTGCACATTTGACAGTAGAGCTGTCAAATTAATTTTTCTATTTATAGTTTAATTTTACTCTAAACACTTGGCAGAGTTGACATGGGTAATAATGTAAATGTAATTTTGTTGAACTTCATTGTGCTAGCACATTGGATTAGCATCTGCTAACATCATTCTCAGTTGCTTTTATCCCTCTTAAGCAGTTAAAACACTGGTTTTCTAAAAGAACAAGTTTGGAAACATCATTAGAATTTCATCATAGGGAGTACTGACAACAAAAATAATACACGTGTAAAATTACATATATTAATGATCTAAGTATATACAATTATAATTAAAAGTTAAACAACCATAAAATGAAACTTATTGCAAGTGAGAAAAGTTTTTGATCCAGGCCACGTATATCGCTGAAGTGTTTGAACAATAAATACAGTAGCTAGAGAAAAAGTAAATTGCAACTTTAAGTGTAACTGTCTCTCTTAAGTGACATTAGGTCTTATTCTAAGACCTAATAAAATCTTAGAATGGGAAGGATGTTTCTCATTAAGTAAATTCTCTTTAAAAGCCTTTAATCCTGGCATTTGACTTAGATTTTGAAATGTCATAAAACATTTAGAATTCAACATTTATGCAATCCAGTTTTAGAAAATGAGATGGCATGCAATATATCACATTTTAAAGTTATCAAATACAGGTACCTTTATGCCTATTGCTGTTTTCTTTGCTTCTGCTTTTAATTTGGTTGCTCGTAAAATAGGTTTGGTTTTTTTATAATCCTGTTTACCTAGAAAGAGATAATTTCAGACAATGAGCTATAATTTAAGTTTAACGGCCATCTGAAATGTCAAAGAACCTTTAAATAGAGTAAAACTGGGAGACAAAGTTGCAAAGTAATTCCCAGTTATGGAAACCATAAACTGGTCACCCTAAGGTCAATTTTTCCTTCTCTCTTACTTTTTCAGGAAGAAGATTTGACAGACATCTTTCATTTGGTGTGAGGTGAATATCAACAAAGATAAAAAATTCTTTTAGAGAATAAGATGTTTAAAGCAAAGAGAGTAAACCTTAGAAGCATTTGGAGACAAATGTGGAAATAAATGAAATTACATAAGATCCCTTTAAACAGATAAGATTAACTCTGTCTTCATAATTGAAGAATAACAGTTCATTAGAAATTTATTTTATTATCGATATATTAAGTATTCAATAATCAATCTGAGAAGTATCTTCAAAGTAAGAAACTAAAGACTGATCTGTAAATAACTTTCAGTTGCTGAATTCTTTAGAAAAAAGTATTTAACTTTTGTTTGCTCTCTGTGGAGGACAGAATAAATATGGCTAGATAAATGATGAAGGATAGCTATATTTAGACATTAGTTTCAATGTTCTTTACCACATTTAACAACCAAAAATGAACAAAACTGAGTTAGTGTCACCAAATTTGCTTTTTTGTGTGTGTGTATACCACCTGGTGACCCCACTAATGGGTAACAAAAGAGCTATTACACACCCTGTGAGGAAAACAGATTTAACAATAACAACAACAAAAGCATTGACTAGAATAATATACTCTTTTTGTTAACCAACCTGTTAGCTAAGAATTGGGTCCAATTAGTCTCAAATATAATCATATGTCATTCTGAGTGGGAGTTAACATTTGACCATATAATCTCTTCAACTATTTTATATTCTTCTATTTGGCCTTGTTGTTTCCATTTTATTCCCTTTCCTTTCAAAGATCAATTACTTTCCAAAACTTACCCCTGTAGTCTATCAAAATAATACAACTGCTAACTTTAATTTCCACATCTTCCTCACACTGAAGTAAATCTGAAAGCAGTTTATCTAAAGTATACCATCAAAATTTAATGTGCAATATATTTTTTAATGTGTTTGCTAATGATTCAAAAGTACCTTTAAAATTCTATATAGATTTTTAGAGTTAGAAATGCCAGGGAGAAGTGAGACAAATGAATGGGAGGATGAAGAAATGCTATATCTGTGTTCATTAGACACATAAAAGTATTTATTTGGCTGAAGAGCTTTTTTTTTTAAGAAGTGTGTATGCTATTTCCTTAACTGCAATGGTATAGCAGTCATTCTGGATCTATGAGCATGCAGCACCTTAATAAATATTATTTGATGATGGGGTTTAATGATCCAGAAATGAGCCAATTGTAAAAATGTATATCAAATGATCTAAATTTAAATTATGGAATGAACAAATACAGAAAAATATTACTCTGACCCATTTTAAATTAGCAACATTTAATTTTGCTGAAAAAATCTTGACAAGTGTTCACTCTGATTTCACATGTCAACAGTCAAACTATTCATGTCATTATTCCTGCTGAGATATAAACAGTTCAGAGCAATGAAACTGGTGACACATCAAATGTCTCCACTCAGGGTTACAAAGCAAGTTTCTAATGAGAACCTAAAAAGAAATTTCAATATTATAGATTTGAAGCCAAGAAGTCATTTCTTATGTTATATATGCCCTATAATAAACTCTGGGTGCAACAGGGACAAAATAAACAAAAAAAGAGATTATCTTAACCAATCTGCTTTTTGTAGACATATGCAATATTCTGGATGATGTGTCTGTCATAAAGCAGATTCAAATATGCTTAAAAGAGTCAATGTTAAAGTGAGATTTTATCATTCTACTTCACTTGCCATTGGTTAAATAATGTGTTCTATTTCAATTCAAGTCCTATAATCTCTTAAAGAATAATACTTCTAAATTTATATTAAAGTTGATATGAACATTTGAAGCAGTATTTATAATAAAAAGACAGTTTTAAAAATTATTACACACCTCATACTTCTCCAAAAAGTGCATCTGTCATTAATGTAGCATTCTCCTTGCTGACTGTGATATCCAAAAGTATATATTGCAAAACGTGGTTTCAGTCTACTAAGTGAAAACGTTTACAGGGGCATTTGTTAAGTTCTTTATAACTAAAACCAGATCTCTCCATTATACCCAAAAAGATATTTAACATTTTAATTTTTTATGGCTTCATGAAAAATACCTATGCGCACATGATTGTAAAAAAAAATATAAAATAAGAAGCTCCTGCCTTCTGAGTACTTACACCCAGGAAAAAACACATTTATGTAATCTAGATTTCATATGCAGACAGCTTTTTAAATACAATTGGATCTGATTTTGGTTATATCAATAATACGATAACAAAAGTGGCAATTTAGCAATTGCTCATTACATTTTATATGAGAGAAATTCGAGCCTAAAAAGCCAATATGGGACCTCAATCATCTCGTTTCTCTCTTCTCAATTACACCATTCATCACAGTTCTGTATTTTAATTTCCTATGACATAGTTTAAGTAACAAAAGCTTTCTCCCCCATCTCCACACTTTCTGATGGACTGATTTATGCTTCCTCCCTCCAATATGATCCTATTATATTATTTCATTATATTTTATTTTTTACTTATCATACAGTGAATATAACATTTTTTTTCCTTTTGGTATACAGTTCTATGAATTTTAATGCTTATGTATAGATCATGTAATTACTACTATAATCAGGATATAGAAAAGTTATATTATTTCAAAAAACTCCCTGGCACTAACTTTCTAAACTCACCCTCCTTCCTACCATAATGCCTGGCAACCACTGATATATTGTCCATTTCTATAGCTTTGTCTTTTCAATAATGCAGCAAAAATGTGACAAGGGCTTCTTTTATTCAGCTTAAGGCCTTTAAATTTCACCCAAGTTGTATGTATCAGCATTTTATTCTTCTCTATTGCTGGTTAGTATTCCATTATAGGAACGTACCAGAACTTGTTTATCCATTCACTCATTGAAGTACATTTGGGTTATGTCCAGTGTTTGGCAAGTATGACAAGAGCTACTATAAACACAGGTATGCAGGTTTTTATGTGAACATAAGTTTTCATTTATCTAGGGTAAGATTGCTGAGTCTTATGGTAAGTATATATTTAACTTTGTAAGAAATTGTCAAACCATTTTTCAGAGTGTTTGCATTCTCACCAGCAATGAATAAGAGTTCTGATAGCTTTGCATCATCACTAGCACTTGGTATTATTGTATCTAGGTTATCTAATTTTTTAGTGTACAATTAATTGTTCATAGTATTCTCTTATAATCCATGTTATATGTGTAAGGTTGATAGTAGTTACACTGTTTTGTTACTGGTATTAGTAATTTGTTCTTTTTTTTTCCTTAGTCTTAACTACAGGTTTTTTCAATTTCATTGATCTTTCTAAATAACAAATTTTGGGTTTTGTCGATTTTTTTCTACCATTTTTCTGTTTTGTATTTTGTTTATTTTCATTCTAATCTTTCTTATTTCCTTCCCTCAGATAGCTTTGAGTTTAGTTTGCACATTTTTTTCTAATTTTTTAGATAGAAATTTAAGTTATTGATTTGAAACCTTTCTTCTTTATTAATATAGTCATTAACAAGTATAAATCTCCATCTAAGTACTGCTTTATCATCATTTCATAAGTCAGCAAGGAGAAGAAGAAAGTTATACACAAAAACACTTGTAGATATATTTACCTATGCAGTTACTTTTACTGGTGTTAACTTATTTTTTCTGTTTGTGGATTCTAGTAACTGCCTTATGCACTTTCATTTTAGCCTGGAGGACTTTTAGTGTTTCTTATAGGGCAGGTGTACTACTGACAAATTTTCTGGTTTTGTTTATCCAAGAACATCTTGATTTCTCACTTTTTTGAAGGACAGTTGTGCTAGATGTAGAATTTTTGGTTGACACTCTTTTGCTTTCATCACATCATATATAATGAATTACTTATTACTTTCTGCTTTCAAGATTTACTCTTTATGTTTGACTTTCAGCAGTTTGACTATGATGTGGCCAGGTGTGGATCTCTGAGTTTATCCTTCTCAAAATTTTGTGAGGTTCTTGGATATACAAATTAAAGTTTTTCATCACATTTCAAGAAGGTTTTTGTCTTTTGAATATTCTTTTTGACGCTCTCTCTTCCTCTTCTCATTCTGGAACTATTATTATGCATAGGCTGGTATGCTAGATAGAGTCCTATAGGTACCTATGGCTCTGTTCATTTTTTGTCATATCTCATTCATTATTTTTTATTCATGTTCCTCAGACTGGATAATCTCAATTAACCTCTCTTCATGTTCCCTGTTTCTCCTATAAGTTCAAATCTACTGCGAAGCCCCTCTAGTGAAATTTTTATATTGGTTATTATATTTTTTTCAAGTCCAGAATTTCTATTTTTTATATACATAATTTACATTTATATAATAATATTTTCTATTTGTTGGTACATCATTCTCATACTTTAATTCTTTAGACATGGTTTTCTTTATATTTTGAACATATTTTAAATGGCTGATTTAAAGTCTTTGTCTAGTAAGTCCAAGGTCTGAACTTGTCTAGAGATGCTTTCTATTCTTTTTCTGTGTATGGACCATAATTTGCTGATTTTTTTGTGTGTTTCATAATTTTTGTAGAGAACAGTTTTCTACAAAATGTTATGTAGCAACAGTTAAATAATGTAATGTGGCAACTCGGCCAAACAGATCTCCCCTAGGATTTGTTGTTGCTGCTCTTTGTTCTTCTTTTGTTGGTGTTACTGTTTGTTTGTTTAGTGACTTTTATGGTCTAATTCTATAGAGTCTGTATTCTTTGTTATATGGAGTCACTTAGCTTAATGTTCATCTAATAACTGGACAGGTATTTTCTTAACTGTCTTTTACCAATATATCTTCCAGGTTTGTTGAACAGGTGTTCCATACTT